GTAAATATATATATATATATGTAAGTGGAATGAGACATAAATTTAAATTTAAATCATATCCAAAATTCTTAATCTATAAGGATATCTTGATCAGGACAGGGGAGAACACCATTAATAGGCATTAAATGAAAATAATTGAATTAAGGTGATGCTTTATTTGGACTTGTTGAGGCCAAAGAGTCCTTTAGGGCAGCCAAACATTTGGTAAACTAGGTTAGCCTTTTCTTAATAGTGAGTTAAAAAGTTATTTTGCCAAACTGGGACAGAACATCAAAAGCACATTCTTTAAATGTAACCTAGACCTTCTTATACTTTTGAAAGCTCAAACTTTTACCTTAACAAATCCTTGTTCCCATATTTACCCCTCTAGATCAGTTATATCTATTTTGTTCATTAACTTTTCTTCTTCCCTTTCGAATCTGTGAGTGCTTTTCTTCCCTTCTCCCCAATCTAGAGGGTCAAATACGACAACAAGAACATATCGTCACCAAAAGCCTACCTTTTAGTAATGACATTAAAAATTGCCCCTGGAAATCTTTCAACAATGACTTTTCATATATTGTGGGAGAAATAGAAGGAAGAGAAGCGAAGTTAAGTTGGCCGAGATAACAAAGCAAATTAAACAACATCATATTATTTATTCAAAACACATATATAATAATAATCCATAACATTACATAGGCTGATTTATTTAGAGAGCAATATTAGGGAGAGCTCATGAAACAGTATCAGCAACATTAATACTAAACACCAACATATGCATCAATAATCACTCAACGGACTATCTTTCGGATGAGAGGCACAAAGGTCGAGGATGGGGGCGGGGTAGGCGCTGTCGGTGGGGGCGGCGGCGGTGAAGGGGTGGGGATTCGTGGAATGACGGGTTTCTCGTAAGGTTCAAATACAACCTTCAATTCTTCGTCGTCCTTATCGGGACAGACCTCCAGACGATAAAGATCTTGGTTATGTCGGTAGCGTGAGGCTGTAAGAATAAATTCAGCTACACCTTTATAGTAAAAGGCAATATAATACGAATGGATGTCTACATCCTTTGATTTAATAATGCGGAACGCACCAGACATATTTGAAGCATCCGCAAGTCGACCAATCACCACAGGATACTCTTTCTTAACATGAACTTCGATACCCCAGCTAGCTGATTGAGCACAATAAGAAACCTCAGCAAATTCGAAATCAACTATTTCTCCCAATTTGATGCTTTTTGAATGTTGGTCTCCATTATGAATAATCACCTTTTTTGCATCAGCACCAATTATCACCGAAACCGGGCACTTATAGTCCCGAGTTTGTTCGGTTTGAATTCCGCGAGCAGTGTTGTTGGCATCAAGAATGTGGTATAGCTTACCAGGCTTAAGGGGGTGGCCATACATGTCGAGCACATTTTCTTCAGCTAGGGTTAGGGTTTGTTGGGTGATGAAGGCAAAGAGAAGGAAAATGAGAGGCGGCAATGAAGTGCTCATTTTGGAGGACTGAAATATGATGGAAAAGAGAGAGGGTATGTTGTGGAAAATGGGAGCTTGCATGGCTTCTATTTATAGAGTTACAAAAAGTTGAGAGGGCAATAATAAGCATGCATGCAGTTTAATCAGCAGGTTTGTAAAAATGGAAGTCTTCTAATTTCATGCAAGAGATCAACGTTGATAAGGTGAAGGACCACTGGTTGTGGTTTCCATTGAATTGGGCCACTGCTATTCACTAAATTACGAGAGATATTAATTAGCATGTTTTAAATAAATGACCTTGTAGACTCAGCCAAAAAAAAAAAAAAGAGCAAATGAATAAGAATTCTTTTTTGGAGGAATCCCTTGTCTGGAGAAATCCATTGAACTGGACCACTGAAATTCCCTAAAACATATGTAAGTTAACAAATAACATTGCTTTTACATGTGCGTATGCGTCTGTATTGCTTTCACGTAGGAATTCTTCATTGAAGATTATCTTAACAAAAAGAACATTTTAGCTGAATTAAAACACGTTGTTTACATATGACTAATTTAATTAATTTTTTTTAATTTTATGAATTAGTTATCTACCTCTTACGACCTGAAAAAAAAGAAAATGTTTTAAGGAAAAGCAAAAGCGTACCTACTTGTCCGGCCCTCCCTGTTTTCCTCATACCAAGTGACCTTTAAATTGAATTGCAATCTAGATCGAACTCACTCATATGCTTCTTTACATATCACATTGGACCAAATCATACTTCATATCATTCATCATAAGTTTCCAGTTATGTTTCCTTACTAGATAGTTCACTCATGAGCTATCATTGGTACTTAGTTAGCTAGGTCGAGTGGAATGAGAAGCTCAATTTACTTCTTGTTAAAGCCACAAAGGAGGACAAGCTGGAAATATTAATTAGAAGTGTTGTTTTACGCCATGGAAGTTGACATCTATGATATGCTGATGAAACAAGCAACGAACGGCTAGAATTGCTTGGTCACCCTCAACGTGTATCATGCATAAATTTGTTTTATGTTGAGGTCTTAATTTTCTTTGTCTCACATTTGTATTTTTTTTTTTAACTGTCTCTATTGATTGTACACATCAAAATGAATGATATTTAGGGGAAAAATCAATATACAATAACTAATTTTCTTAATATATATGAATTAGTTATCTAGTTCTTATATTTGAACCATGGAAGTTGACACCTATGATATGCCAATGAAACAAGCAATGAGCGGCTAGCATTGCTTGGATACCCTCAACGTGTATCACGCATAAATTGGTTTTATGTTTAGGTCTTAATTTTCTTTGTCTCTCACATTTGTATTTTTTTTTTTTTTAAGTGTCTCTATTGATTGTACACATCAAAATGAATGATATTTAGGGGAAAAATCAATATACATTAACTAATTTTTTTAATATGTATAAATTAGTTGTCTAGCTCTTATATTTGAATCATGGAAGTTGACACCTAGGATATGCCGAAGAAACAAGCAATGAACGTCTAGAATTGCTTGGTCACCCTCAACGTGTATCATGGATAAATTGGTTTTATGTTTAGGTCTTAATTTTCTTTGTCTCTCACATTTGTATTTTTTTTTAACTGTCTCTATTGATTGTACACATCAAAATGAATGATATTTAGGGGAAAAATCAATATGCATTAGCTAATTTTCTTAATATATATGAATTAGCTGTCAAGTTCTTATATCTGAACCATAGAAGTTGACACCTATGATATGCCGAAGAAACAAGCAATGAACGGCTAGAATTGCTTGGCCACCCTCAACGTGTATCATGCATAAATTGGTTTTATGTTGAGGTCTTAATTTTCTTTGTCTCTCACATTTGTATTTTTTTTAACTGTCTCTATTGACTGTACACATCAAAATGAATGATATCTAGGGGAAAAATCAATATACATTAACTAATTTTCTTAATATATATGAATTAGTTGTCTATTTCTTATTTTGAACCATGGAAGTTGACACCCATGATATGCCAATGAAACAGGCAATGAACGGCTAGAATTGCTTGCCCTCAAGGTGTATCACGCATAAATTTGTTTTTATGTCTAGGTCTTAATTTCCTCTTTCTCTCACATTTGCATTTTTTTTAACTGTCTCTATTAATTGTACACATCAAATGATGATGTTTAGGGGAAAAATCAATAATCATTAACTAATTTTCTTAATATATATGGATTAGTTGTCTAGTTCTTGTATTTAACACCGGAGTTTAAATGAAAAGTGCCATTACCACATGGGGAGTTGGGTGATTTTGCTTTTATTGATTGCTCCCCAAGAGAAAAAGGGTCCCCACGAACGATGTCCATGAAATCAACTTCATTTCCATGTACGCAGCATGCCATTCCGAACTTTCCCATTTCTTGATCAAGACGACAGTCATATACATTTTGAAACGAGAGGCATTTATTATTTATTGTATTATATATATATATATTTGTCCTTAGAATAAGTTACTATATGTTGTGCAATTCGATGAAATCCACAAGGTGTGGTTCTCAATCTCCCTTATTTTACCATGCACATGGGGAATTCATCAAAATGTTAAGAATCTAGCGGTCGGGATATTTATTATTCTGTAGTGAGAGAGAGAGAGAGAGAGAGAGAGAGAGATCTATCCAATCACTCTTGAAGAATCTCCTAGTTTCCTACATATAGCGTGAAAGAGACGATGAAAGCCCGTGATTCAGCAAAAGCAGAGAGAATTATTAAGTGTACACTTTGGATTTTACACGTAGGAGGAAAATGTCCCCTTAAATCGTAAAATGGTGAAGAATCATCGTCACATCGAATAGAATCGAACTTAATAAGAAATATAAGTGGAATGATTTATAAATTGAGCGGATTCTTTTCCTCTTTCATCCTGGAGACTCTATAATCTAATTGTTTATAATTTTGATGGTAGTCGAGCACAACTTGTGCTGTTTTTTGGATTGTGGAAAAAAAAAATGATATAACTATGCATGGCGTAATGAGAAAACTAATAAATCCTCCTCATAAATGACAATTTCCTAAAACATGGATTATACTTATATGTAATCTATTCTTAATTGCTCATAAATTTCTTAAATGACAAATCCCTATATGCCAGTAATATATCTATAAGTAATAATGTTAATCGTTAACTTATTGTATGTTTTAGCAAATTTCAGCGGTCCACTTCGATGGATTTCTCCGGACAAGGGATCCCTCCAAACCAAAAAAAAAAAAAAAAACCTATTCATTTTTTTTTTTTAAATTTTTGGTTGAGTTTCCAAAATCATTTATTTATTACATGCTAATTAATATCGCTCGTAATTTAGCGAATAGCAGTGGCCCAATTCAATGGGAATCACAACCAGTGGTCCTTCACCTTATCAACATCGATCTCCTGCATGAAATTAAAAGGCGAAACTCAGCTTATTGCCGTCTCATCTTTTGTAACTCTATAAATAGAAGCCATGCAAACTCCGATTTCCACCACACATCCTCACTTTTCTATCATATTTCACTCTCATCCGCTCCAAAATGAGGACTTCTTCATTGATTTCTCTGATTTTCCTTCTCTTTGCCCTCTCCACCCAACACCTAAAAACCCTAGCTGATTCGGAACAGGTTCTTGACTTCTATGGCAATGCTCTCGTGCCTGGTAAGCTATACCACATTCTCGATTTCACCGACCATGCCCATGGAATTCAAACGGAAGAACTCGATGATCAAACCTGCCCTATTACAGTGATCTTCGGAGCTGATGCGAAAAAGGTGATTTTCACTCCCAAAGACGAAAAAGCAACAAGTATCGTGACAGAACAAGATTTGGACATCAAATTCCTTGAGGTTTCTCGATGTGCTAAATCAGGCAACTGGGCTGTTCAAGTTGATGCTGACAAAAATAACCATCTTTTGATTGGTCCACCTACTGGTGTTGAAACCTGGGATGGTTCATTCCATATTAGGAAATCTAAGACTGGAACTGCATATAATCTTGCCTTTTATCTTTTTGAACGTGATGATACTTTCTTAGTGACACGAAACTACCGACCAAATCAAGATATTTATCGTTTGGAGTTATGTACTGACGAAGGATTCGATGTTGTGTTCTACCCTTATACCCCAGCCACCTTAACTCCCCCCAGTGTGTCTCGTATCCGTAAGAGAGTTGCTTAAGTATTTAATTAATGATGATCATGTGTGCCATATTAATGTTCGTTGCTGATACTGTTAAACGAGCTCCCTTGTGTTGCTCTCTAAATAAATCAGCTTATGTAATGTTATGTTGATTATTATGTGTTATGAATAAATGTAGTTGGCTATGTTACTTGTTCTTCCTGAACTTCACGTTTCTTCTATTTCTCCCCCAATAATTATGGGAATTTTATTTCTTTAATTACCGTTTGATAGCCCAACAAACCGAACGGGACTAGTTGTGTGTTCGTAGAGAGAAAACTCAATGTTGATTAAATACTTCAATTATCATTCTATAAGCTAATAACTAATAAAGAAAATGGAGGATAATATCGGCAATATATATATATATATATATATATATAAGCTGACACAAGAGTGTACAGCTTGGAGTTTAAAATTATTACGTTCGAGATTCAGTAGTGTAATATTGCTGGTGCCAATGATGCAGTGTGTATTATCGCAAGGAAAGATAGGAATCTCCATCAAGCTGGTTGTCATGATAAATTTTCATTCAATGATATATATATATATATATATATATAGGTCATCATTTAGGGTTTATGTGTTTCCTTATAGATAGACTGTGATTTTTTTTGGGGTATTGCTTTATGTTATCATTTAGGAAAAATTAATCCGTCAATATTTGTAGGGATTTGTATCTTAATTATGCCCATCACTTATTTCAAAGGTAATTCAAAAAAAAAAGAAAGAAGGGTTTTACCACCCGCCATAATTAGTTTATGCTATGCTTGTTTTGGATACATGAATTTTATGAATTTCGATTTCATACAAATCCAAGCAAATTTTGTATCACAATTCCTTTAGGATCAAATACCTAATCTGCGCCAATTTTTTCAAATCTTAGCCATCCTCTTTCAATGCTTCCACATATTGGTGTGGATATTTTATACTATCAAAACCAATAATTTTAAATCCATGGACTCTAAAGGTAAGATTTTAAACCTAGAATCCAAATCCATATCCACCTATCCAAGTGCCACCTTAAATTATTTTCAATATAATTAGAATTTAAAATCCACCTTTTGAATTCAACATCTATACCTTCATTTATAATATACCTTCCCTAAGAATATTTATTTTTGTAGGTGAATTTCAGATGTATATAAGTCTAATATTATTATTATTATTATTATTATTATTATTATTATTATACGATATGAAACCAAGGGGAAAAATGGCAGGATAATTTATATATGTCAATGGAGAAAATCAAGATATGGAAAACAAGACAAATTTTTTTTACGATTGCACAGTAAGGAAGACAAATCCAATACTCGAAAATTAAATTGGCAAAACGCACCAAAAGCCACTATTCAAAAACAAAATAAAATACTACCTATGATCCTTAATATAAAACCTCGTTTGACTTTTATTTTGATCCTAATTATAAGACCCCAATCCACTTTGTCTCTCATATTTATGGATTTTTTCTCAAGGTAGTCCCTCTAATAATGGTAGTTCTAGCCAATAAACTTGATTAGCAAGGATATTTTAAAAAAGACAATATTACAAATGCCTAACTTAACTTATTTTCTTAATATCCTCAAAGTAGTTAACTAGCTTTTATAATTAGGATTGAAGGTAGTATATCTTATTATTAAAGGGGAGCCAGTAAACAGAAATAAAAAATTGAATAATTAGTCACTAAATCTAATAAACATGTTCCCAATAAAACATTCTGTGAACTATATTGGACAACCTCTTGGTTTTCTGTGGTTTCTTTGCGTGCTTTCTCTCTCTGACTCAACTCATTCTCACATACCAATTCTTCAAAGCTGGGCTTGCAGCAACACACAAGCCTCCAAACAACCTCAAAAGTCATCAATATATAGAATGATTTTTTTTTAATATGACAAACTTACAGAAATTCGCGCATATACAATTGGCACTTGTTAAGCTTATTTAATCTAAATCATACTCAAATTCTATGTAAACGTATGCAATTTTGTTTACATTAAACTAATTAATTAACTACAAAATAATTTATATTTCCAATTTAACTCAAACAGATTCCAAACTTTCCAACTTCCCAATCCCAAATGCATTCTCAATTAACTGATTTATATTAACCAAGTCCTAGAGAACAGATTAACTAATTAAAAATCCTAAACAATAGCTTCAAATGTGTGTAAGAGAGAGAGTGGTAACTGAATGAGCACAATAATTAAGTGGATAATTCAAAAGTTGCCTTATGTGATTAAGACTATCTACATCGTTATTCACAATAACTGATAAAGTTAACTATGAGTGTGTTTGGTTGAGCGACTGTGGGTAGAAGTAGCTTTTGGGGAGCAAAAGTCACATTGGGTTATTTTATTATGTTTGACATCACTTTAATTGATATAAGTGCCCATTTGGATTAGCAATTGGAAAAGTAGCTTAAAGAAAAAGTAGCTTATAGAAAAGTAAAGTTGGTAAAAGTTAAATTGGATAAGCTGAATTGTGTTTGGATTGGAGTTCAGAAAAGTCAGTTTACAAAAGTGAGTTTAGTAAAAGTTTGTTTGGATTATAGTTGAGTAAAAGTAAGTTTGGTTGAGAAATTACCAAAATGGGTAGGAGTTTTAATAAATAATAAAACATGATAAAAAATTAATTTCAAATAATACAATAAAATTAAAAGAAACGAATTAAAAAATGGAGAGAGAACTGACAAAAAATATAACGATCCAGAGAGCTTTGTGATCGGGCGTTGCAATTTCAAAAAGCTTCTCCACAGAGCTTAACAGATTGGGCGGTGCAATCTGATTTTTGGTGGATAAGCTGGATGGCCCAAATGCTGATCCAAACTACCTTCAATATGCAATCGGGCTTATTATAGCTTTTCATCAGCGTTTGGCCCATAAAACGCTCTCCCAAACAGGCTCTAAGTCATTTTGCCCAAAAAAGTCACTTTAAGTCATAAGCTAAATTTTATGGCTTATGCAAAAGCTCCTTTTCAAAACCAAAAGACATTTTTACCCCTAGATTTATGTTCTTCTTATACTTCTCTCTACATATTTAATGTGCTTCCCAACCAATTTTTAGTTATTTATTTTTAATGCTCTTTTAAATAAAAATAATTTTTAACAAAATTTTTATTATATTTATAATTTTTTTTATTTTATATTTACATAAATTATGTTGAGTATGTCATCTAATTAATTATGTAATATTATTTGGCTAAAAAAATTTCACATTACTATAATTTCTAATTTAAATATATTTTATTCATTAAATATAACTCCTTCCTATTATAATAATTTAAAATTATTATATTTTGTAAATTTATTTTTTAATGATTTTTATTATTTAATAAAAGTTATACCTATTTTGGTAATTCTACAAACTAAATTTACTCATCTAAGCATAATCCAAACAACTTTTTTACTTTACAAACTAACTTCTATAAGAGTCAATTCAAACGTAAATCATATTACGCAGTCTATCTTTTACCTAATCTTACTTTTTTCATAAGTCAAATTCCAAATAAGTTACTTTTTCTACTATTAATCCAAACGGATGTCGTTTAATGCTTAAACAACTTACTTAAGTAGATATTTTATGTCACTTATTCTCTCTATACCGACCTAGAAAACCTAAACTTCTCCCTTCGATCCTATATATAAGCTTCACTTTTGGAGAAGGGTCTAGTCAAATATATAAGCTTCATTTTTGAGTTTGTTTGAACATTTATTACTTTTTTTTTTCCTATTTTGTTCTTAGTTGACTGTATTTAGTATTCCCTCTCTATCATTAATATTACCCCCATATATTCTCTCTCGTCATTTTTTTTTCATTTCTTGCCTTTCTCATTCACTCTCTTAATAAATAAGGGCAAATTTGGGAAAAAAAACATTTTTGTCCTAGTTATTATTTTTCACTAATTTTAACTATTAGTTTGTTAAACATGATTCGGTTATTCGAAGCTTATATATAGAACTAGAGGGAGTATGTTGATTGTGATCTTGACCGACTTACGTAGATGCTTCATTTAAACGCTAAAAGTTTACCATTATGCCATCCTGTTTTTCCTTTCTATGTTGGTTTTTGTATTATGGGAAGTGGAATGGAAAAGCTACGTGGTAAGTTTTATTCAGCTAAAAGTTTGCATCGTTTTGTTTTTTTTTTTTTTGTTTTTGGTGTTTCTGCCATTTAGAGGATAAATATATCACAATCGTCCCCGATGAGTTTTCATATACATTTTAGATAATAGATGGACCATATGTAAATACGTGTCCATTGACAACACCTTAAATATACTCTTTCCAATCCTTATTATAAGCTTCAAATAATTAATTCACAGATAACAGATAATTAGTTAAAATCAGTTAAAAACAATAAATGGGTTAAAAATATACTTGTATTTTCAAATATGCCCTTATAATAAATAAGAAAAAGAATGAGAGAGAATTTGTGGGAAAATATGATAAGAAGAAATAATTTAGGGCAAAATTGAAAGAAAGACATTAAATGTTAAGATAAACCCAAATTAAAGTGTATGAAATGGACCACACCTCTTTCCAAATTTGAATTTTATAAATAGGAGATGAGGGAGTATTTGCACATGGGTTCATGATATGACCTCTGGTCCTTAATATAAGAGTTAGGTAACTAATTTGGAGATATTAAAAAAATTAGCTAAGTTGGTTATTTGCCACAAATGTGCATTGGACTTCCTAATTAATTATCATCTTTGATCATATGCATTGAAACTATTCCTTGGTGGCAACCTCTTACAATGAATAAGGATATTTTGAAAAAAACATAGAGAGAGAGACAAAGTGGATTGAGATTTATATTAAGAACTAAACCCAACCTCCCAACTAAGTCTTATGTTAAGGACTGGAGGTAACACAATATTTAGTAAAAAAAGAACCACTTTCATGACCAAATATCCATGTTCTTTTTCTTTTTTTTTCTTTTTTTTTTTTGTGCCTAGGCTTTGTGTTTCCATGCTAATATAAGACACACATACAGCA